TCACGCTCCTCCTGGGGTGGTAGAGGTCTGTAGGGCAGGGATGCAGGGGATCCTGAAGGGGAGGGATGGAGGGGAGAGATCAAACCTCAGTAGGAGGTGAGTGTTGCTGATCTTCTGAAGTGAGGCTGTGATCTGAAGAAGTTGAAAAACAGCTGGCCCCAACTAGTCCCCCACTTCCAGCATGGAGAAACAGCCCTTGGTGCTTCATGGGAAGGTGTGAGAGCCTTTTTATGGTCAGTAGAATGATGTTTCATCTTAATCCATAATAGAAATTTGCACAAAATCCTGAAGCACGAAGTTCATGCAGCCTCATGCAGTTGGTGGTCCCAGAAGCAGCTCTGTGTAATGAGATGTGCGGAGGAGCTGCGGCTTGCTATGGTCCCGTCTGTGAGTTTCCAACCTTCCACTGAGCGCTTTGTGTTAATTGTTCACTACATTACAAAAATATCACATTATGTTAATTTTATTATGTTGTTTGTTAATACTGAATGCTTGCTCCCTTGCTCCAAGATAGAAAAGCCACCTGAGATGCGGTAGGGTATTTGTCTGACCTGCAGCTCCTGCTCCAGAAGATCATCTTCCTTGCAGGCCCCATGCCATATCCGCTATGGGGATGTCTCTCTAAAGACATGTTTATCACGTCGCATTAATGCATGTATTGTTAACTGAAGTGACAGGCTTTTTCCAGCCATGGGCAAACGCAGAGAAACAACGTGCTTGCACCTATGGCTTTCTCATCACCCAGTTATGGCACTCGTCTGAGAGAGTTATGCTGGGTTTCACATCTTGCAAATAAATAATGGAAAATTTTAAGTCTCCTGGCAGTAACGTAACCTACTGCTTCTTCTCTTTTCTTATTTGAATTTGAGTAATCGTAGCTTCCAGCTGTTACATATTCAACGTTAAAGAGCTCCTTGCACCAAAATGATTTCCATTTGCTTGCTTATAGACTATGATAAACGTGCTCTTTCATTTTCAATTTCATGAGCTAAATAGATTGGATTCTTAAGTCATTCCTTGTCCCATAAGTTTTCCAGACCTTGAATAATCACTGGGGCTTTTCTGCATTTTGTCTAAATTTTCAAGTTGATTTTGAAAGGTGGACTTTCAGAAGAGGTCAGAAGTTCAGAAGTTGTCTTAGTATCTGTAGCAATACCTCCACCTACATCCTAGTGCTCTGCTTATATATGCCAAGATTCTTTTTGTTGATACAACCTGCTGAATCTGATAAATTCAGCTACTTACCAGAGTCCCTAAGTGGCTACTTCTTTCTGAAACACCTCCTTCCATTAAAGGCAGCATCCATTCGTAGTTCCTTGGTTGATTCAAATATATATAGTTCATCAAGTAATACAGATACCTACTTGGTACCATTATATAGATACTTGGTATCTACCTACTTGGTAGAACAAGCTTGGATTTAGTAATTTTTTCCGTCATTTGACAGTTTCTCCAGGTTTGAATTTTCTGTTTCTCCAGTTAGTTGAAAGATAATGAATAATACTGGGCTGAAAGAATTTGCTATCTCACTCTGCTTTAGACAGCTTACCATGGCAGATCTCAAAAGCTATTGTGAATGGTGAGTTATCAAATACTCTTTTCTGATTCATTTATATTTACTAAATTGGCTGCTTCTAAAGCAATTCTTTGTGGGAATGGTGCCCAGGGACAGGCTTGGGCAGCTGTTCGTGCCACCTGCCAGGGTCCTGCTGGTGTTCTATCAGCTGAGCATTTTACACAGCCTCATCGACATCAAAAAGTGCAATTTAGTTTTGTGTAGGGGCAGTTCCAGACCATGAGGTAGCTCCTAAGAGCATCAGAGAAGGGAGGGGAACGACTTGCTCACCTTCCCAAAGGAAAATGCAGCAACCATTTTTCTGGGGGCTGGTTCACTCAGGCCTCCCCAGACTCTCACCTTTCCTTAAGGTAATGAGCTGCAGGTTCAGTTTCCTGCTCCCATCAGGAGTGTAGCAGCAATTTAAGAACTTTAACATCAGTTTTGCTCAGAGTTAGTGTCAGTCTGGTCTTACTTCCTAAATGAACGCATCATTTTAAAATGAAATACACTTCTATAGAAAAAGCTCATCTAACTGGTGCAAAAAATTTATGAGAATTAGATAGCTAAAAAAAAGTGATGCACATATATAACTTCCATGCCCATCATAACTTAGTATAGTTATATTAGAATTGTAGTTTAATATTTTGGCAAAGTCCCATTTCAATCTTACCGCCTCCATGTATCTGACACAAGTATGGAAATCGCCACACGTTCCCCAGACCAACGGCAAATCCGATACAGCTTAAAATATACTGGAACTTATTGTCCCACTTGGGTCTGCCATCTTCTTTAGGGATTTCAGGTGGCACTGATAAGTCTTTTGACATTTTGATGAAATATCCTTGGCTCCTTAGCCCCTTTCCCTATAAATGGGAAGATGCTTCAAAACCTGTCTCTCCTACAGGTTTTATGCAGGGTGACTGGAGGATCCTGGAAAGAGAGGCGGAGCTTTCTTTTTATGTGATGCAAAGGAACGTGTCATCGCCGAACCTGCAGTTTAAAGACAAAACCAGGAATTATTATTATAGAGAGTGTTACCACTCCTGACTTTTTTGCAGCTCTTTCTATAGTTAGAGAACTTGGGAACATGTTGTTAATGGGTAACTCAGGATCAAACAGGTTTTTATTTTCTGTTCTTCTTCTGCTCTCAGATACTTTCACAGAAGTGTGACGCTGAATATAATTAAAATGAAATCTTTACAGCAGACTTATTAAAATTGTAAAATACTTGGAAAAATCTGTGAGTAAAGTATTGCCATTTCCCTTCTTAGTTTGTTAATAGAGGTAATTGAATGAAGACATCTTTTGCAAGTGCAAAAAGTAAATTAAAAAAAGGGGAAGAAAAATTAGAATGTATATGTTCAGACATTAGAATTTGGTCCATTTTAACCATAGCTGCTAGAGGTTAATAACTTCCTACCTGTCAATGAATCTCGAGTGACTATTTTTATTGTTCATTAAATATTTACTGATGAATACATGAGCTGAATGTTTTCCTTCAATTGCAAGTATGTAAGAATGTTTTTTTGTTGGCTTTCAGTTTTACCAGGGTTTTGCTATTTTGCACACCAAATCAGTTCGCTCCACACTAAACAGATCAGCCAGTCACCGTGCTTGCTTCAGTAGATCAAGACTTTATGCCTGGATTCCCCTTTTTGAAATGGGAAGAGTATGTAAGTGAGGATGGATTTTTTTCCCAAAATACTTAGAGAGAAATAAAAGCCCTGCTCTGCAGCTAAGCGTACAAATATGGTCAGGTTGCAGATCATCCAACCAGAAGACAATTTCACATCTACGCTATACAAGTCTCCCCAGGTAAGCACAGTTCATCTGCTTGTAGCTCTGCTAACATCCAGATCCATAGGTGGAGCAACTCAACTTCCCAGTCCCTTATCATGTTGTCTCACAGGGCACACACGAGTCGGCGCACGTGGCATGGTTTGGCAGCACTTGCATGGCATCAGCGTTGCCAGGGCACCCACCACCATCGCCCCTGCTGCTGCTGCGCTTCAGATCAGGAGATGCCTTGTGCTGTGCTGGGGCCGTTCTAGCAACACACTGATTTCCATACCTGCCACATGCAGCTGACTGCTTCAAACTCAGTTTTACTCATTCCCAGTGGCTGAGCTTTTTCTTAGCAGGAAAACCTGACAATAAATTGGTTTTTTTTCCATTACAGAATAACATCTTTAAATAGTTTAAATAATTACTCACATTCAAATAATTAAAAAAGAAAAAAAAAGAAATTGGAATGCAAATTAATTTAATCATTCCAATACACATACAGTGCCCGGTACTTTACTCTCTATTTAGAGCAGATATGCTACTCTAAAGACACAGTCTAGAGTAGATATACCCTAAATATCCCTATGTCTTGTAAGAGAATATTTTGATTATAAGGGAGCATCAGGGCGTAAATTGGATCAATTCTTGTCTTAAAAGGTGGGTATAGGAAGAGCTGCGAAGTGATACAAATGTGTTGCCTATGTGCAGGGACCACCTATCCAGAGGGGACATTTACACTGTCCGCTTCTGGCATTCAGCCTGGGTGGTCTAACGGTGCCCCTTGCTCTCTCCAGTGACCGCATAAGGAATGGGGCTCCTGACTGAGCTCCTCTGGGTCACATGGAAGTTAGAAGCTTGAAGTAGGTGTAAACATACATAGTTGTGCATGCACATGTGTCTGTGTGTACACAAACTACAGCTACCCACCTTGACTGTGACAGATGAGGGCAAGAAGCTTTGCACCGTTTAGGTGCCTTGGATCCCCCATCAGTATGGACCCAGGCACGTGGTGCACCCCTTGCTCATAGGTGCCAGAGAAGACAGATTTTGCCATTTCCTGAACTGCTGCTGCCCCATTGCAAGATTACCTCTTCTGTCATCAGCAAAAGCAGCACTATCTGCCCGCAACTTGGAATGAATAGGCAATTAATAAAATATCCAGTATTATAAATGAATCAAACTGTCATTCTCATACTTAGAAAGGTTTTTATTAAATATTTGAAAATTCTGCATGAGACAAATAGTATCGGTGGCTTTGTGCAACACAGTGGCATGTAAAGTAAAACCAATTTAATGTGCAAGAGAAGTCAGTATTAAGTTAGCCTTCATATTGGCCACCCAACCAGAATGATTGCACATGGAAGAGTCACTTATGGCATGTCAAGCGCAGTACATCCCCAAACAGAGAACTGCAAGCCAGTTTCAAACAAGCTGACTTCAAAACCAGAAGGATAACAAATGAATTGGCCTGGTCCCCAAATCACTTGCAAATGTGGCGGTTTTGCTTCCAGGATTCAAGCCATTAACTCTTCATGTTGCGTTGCATTGTTAAGTAAACAAATGTTTACCTGGAAACAACACATAGTTAACCATTTATGAAAATAAAATTAACCCTGGATTCTTTAAAAAAAGTATTTTTACTTTGCTCACTGACAAAGCATTCTTCCACATTTTTTTAAATGGTTTTATGCTGAATGCTTTAAGTTTCCATTAACAGAAGTCTCAGATGTGGAGCTCATAAGGCCCGTACGATCATTTTTTTTCTGACAGCAATTTCTGATGGCTTTGTAGATGGCAAAGGCAGGGATGACCAAACTGGGCACTCCAGCGAGGATTACAATAATAGCATACACCCAACTGGGGTATTCAGTCTTCTGTGTTTTGGGGAACTTCTCCTGAAAGAGCAAACAACCAAGTTGTAGAAAGTCATGAGGAGGAAATACCTGGGAACATGCACACATTCGATAATTCAACAGACCAAAAATGTAATCAGAACAGTAGCTAGCCACAATGGCACAATAATTTGCCAATTCCGCAGCAGTTTCCAGGTCGAGGGTTTCCAGTCGCAGCTGGTTTGGACTTATTTTTACTTAAAAACGATGGAAAGAAGATGGCGTGAAGGAAGCAAGAGCCAGGAAGGGAGGCTGGTGGGGCTGCTCCTGGCACGCTTCCCGGGCACAGAGGAGCATGGGGCTGGGGGGGGCTCACAGGCCACCAGGGCTTGGTGGACAAACAGTCTTTGGGTGGGAAGGCTGAAATCACAGGGTGTGGGAGGGCTGAAACGTTATTAAGAAAGAAGTGCCATTTCCCCATCTTCCTTTCTCTCCCTTTCTGTCTCTGTGTTATGAAAATAAAATTTCGTCTTTACAAATTAAGTGTGCTGCATGACTGTTTCTGCTTTAAGGATAGCAACTGGTATAAGGCCAGAGAACAAAAAGCAGAGCTAGACAGGCAGGGAAGATATGCGGCGACGGAGAAAATTATGGGACCCACATTTTTTCTAATATGACCTTCTCTGTACCACATACAGCTTTTTATTCTGCAAGGGGAGGAAAGGAAAAGTAGGTAACATTGCTGCAATTATAATTTAAGTCATACCGATACATTTGGAAGAGGAAAGAAGAAATCTGGATATTAATATTAATTAATATTAATTTCTTCTGTCAGTGATGAATATCCAGCACTACTGCAATTCTATGATTTTAAATGCACACAAAAACAAGTGCAATATCAAAATGGCTTCACAGATTTGGTCCTTTATCAACATAGAAAGGTTGTGACATTTCCAGCTCTTTTATAATCCCTGCTGGGGAATTGACATCTGTTTCAGTCTTGCTTGACAAGTGGACGAATGTTTTGGTTTTATCCACTTCAGAAAAGCTACTCAGGTGTCACTATATACCAGCTGCAGGCATCACAGCTGAATTTAGGATTTATTTTTCTAAGTGTTACTTTTCATTATTACTTTATGTCTTGTAGTAAGTTTTTTACCAGAAAACTGTTTCAGATGGGAGATGGATATAACTGACTATGACCCTTACGTTAAGGAAGAGTACATAAAATAATTTTAAATAAGTGTTTTGGTTTTATATACTTACATAGCTAGGGTCCCAAACGCTGTAGAGCAGTTCTTCATTGACTTTCACCACAAAATAAAAGAAGAAGATAACTAACATAATGAGAGGACTGATAACTCTCCAGGTAACCTGCCAGAAAATATTGGGCTTGTGTCCAATCATGAACTCAATATCCTTGTTAAACCTAGAAATAAAAACAGGAAGTTCAGGACAGTAAAAACAGATCAGGATCAAAGAATGCCTGCTCATACACAGGGAAGTCCAAACTACACCTAGCTGTGCTTCCCAGGACTTTGCTAACGTCATTCTGAAATGAGGATGGACAACAACATCAAGAGGTAGACCTAAGCAGTTCACATTAAGGGAGATATCGTTGCAACTATGTTAGAAGTTTTTAACTCATACTTCTCCAAAGTCAGTCAGGAAAATTATTTTTGGAAATGTACTTTCTTCAAGAAGTCCGTGAAGCATATGCCAAATAGTTTCAATGTGAAAGAGTCGATGCAGATGGACTTTCCCCTATAACATATTGCAGTATTGTTTTACAATTTTAAAATTCATTTTACAATTTTTTGGTAAGCATCTCAGAGCTGCATAAATTAAAAGGAATGACACAATATCAAAAAAGAGCAAAAGCAAATTGGAGTGATTTTAAAAACTAGATTCTATGCATAACATTTGCTTAATTTGGATTTCTACCAGTTTTCTCAGGTTGGCTACTGAAACAATATTTAACTTTACACATTATTAAGGACACCTAAAAATGTGTTATTTAAGTTATTTATAGAGAATGCAGTGGGCAATGGGGCAAAAATGTCTCCACAAGAAGAAACAATCCCTGCATTGAGAGTGATACTGTCTGCATCAGTCCTGAACCAATTTATGACCTCTACATATGATGTAGCAACATGTGCACACATTTCTTAAAAAATAATTATTTAGGAAATTTGGGACTTCTGTTGTTAGTCCTTTTGTCTGCCTTTCCTGTGTGTCCTATGGGAGTAAGTCTGAGGGGACTATTCAGTTGGTCCTATAGCTATGAATAACACACAGAATTCAGCTGAGTCTCAATTACTACATACATTTATTTTATCTTTGCACGCCTAACTTCTAAGATCTAGGTATCGTTCTTAAAATGATATGGAGGCCCCTGCCCTGACTGAGGGCGTGTCCATGTGTAGTTCACGAGTGTCATGGATAGCATTCAGGTTCTCCTTCAAGCAGGAGAGCCACCTTTTTACCAATGAAAAAAAGGTCGCAGAAACTCATCTGGAGCAGGTAACACCACCTTCAGGCAGCCCTGATAAGCTCTGTACTCAAAGAGGGCTCCAGCGATGTATACTGGCCAGGAACATGAAAGTTTGATGTGAAGCTCTTTTCTGAATCAGTCCCCAACCCTCTACGGCCTCAGCCCATGTTTGTGTCCTGGGAATAGTTTTAATTTGTCTTTGTAAAGTGTTCTGCGATTTTAAAGGGAAGGAAAAGTGATCAACACAGACTTTTCTGTCCTTAACAAATTAAAATAAGCCTTCTTTCTCTAGGGTTCTCCCTCTGCTCATCTAATTTACCTCAGTTGATTCATGCCTCCTTAAGTAGCATAAAACTCTGAAGTATGGGAAGATGGGCCACAAGGGCATTCACCCCATTGCCAGGAGCAGCACAGATGGAGGGCCTGGCACAGGTTCAAGCAAAACCTATGGGTGATTGAAGTCCCCATGCTTTTTTCATATTTCTTACGTATTAATTATGAACAGAAAGATGGCAACATTTTATTTATTGCATCTCGAGAAAGTTGAAAGGATAATTGCTCACTGCTACAACTGATAAAGTCCTAAATCTATCAGCTAAGACCGTACCTCAGTAGCTTTGGATTCGCATCCTGCTGTAAGACAGTATCTGCAGCCTGCCTCGAGATCCCTGCTTTGGATAGCATCATTTAGCATTCACTTTAAATACCCCTGTGATATACCTCTGGTTTAAACTTTCAGCTCGGTGCCAATGTGCTTGTACTTTGCTGCTGCTAATTAAATATTTAATGCAATTAGTCTGAAGATTTAAAATGGAAATGAGCCATAGTGGCACTCATGTAACTGTTGCAAATATGTACATTCTGATACCTACTTTAAAAATAAATTATTTGCACTCATATTATTATACTCTAGGGCACTTGCTAATGCTTAATATTTTCTTGCAATATCTGAGGCATGTGTTTATTTTAGCTGGTTGTTATAGAGCATTATTTATTATAATGTATTGATAAAGTGGAAAGTTTTCATGCACAAATAAAACCCCCCACTGCACCGTTAACAAAGCATTTTTTCTTTTTGTAGAGAACTATTTCAGAAACCTAAATCATATAAGCGACCCTAAACTACAGTTGCGCAATTTCAGTGATTTCTACAACAGAAATTCTATGCAGCGAGATGTAGCAAGATTACAGCTATACAACTAATCAATTTATGCACTAGTTTCTAGTAACGTATAACTTGTATTTCATACCTGTCTACTCCATAAATGTAGACAACTGAAAACATCTCACAAAATGCAATTATTAGCAAGGGAATAGAGCCAGCAAAACTGTCGAATAGAGCCAGCCAGTAATTACCAGACTTCAGCACAAAAATAAAGGCTATCAAGTAAGACCCCACACAAATGAGACCTGTGAAAAAAACAAAACAACAGCACATTTAGGCAAAGAAAGAAAAAAAAAAAAAAGGTAAGATATTTTCCCAGTAGCTAGAAAGCTTTGTAAGTAACAATTTGGTTGCAGCCTGAAGGTAACCACTTTATTTTTGAAGGGTAGTCTGAGAAGGCCTGCTTCAATGCAGGTAAAATGGCAAAACTCTGCTACCATTGCACAGGTGGGAGATACTGCAAACAAAATGGGAGAAGGTTGAAGAGAGAAAACAGGTCCTTTTCCTCCTAGCTGGTGGGACAGTGTTGCACTGAGAGAAATCGTGCCTGGGTGAAGGACTTGGGTCCTCCAGCTTCCCAATGGAGGAGAAGACAATCATGGAGAGCAGGCTGATGGGCAAGCCACGGGGAGAGCAGCTGCCTGCAGGCTCAGAAGGAACCTCACAGGAGCTGCCCCGCTGGGGGACATGAGAAAACCTTCATCAGGTTATCTAGGAGTCTTAGGACCATGCTGGATCAGAAAGTAGACGGGCGGTGTGTTGATTCTTCAGCATACAAGCTGTTCCCTGGGGAGGAGGGAGGTCACTTGTCTCTAAAAAAGCACTTACCGGTAACAAGTTCCTTAGGCACTTTGGGGGGTATAATCTTAAGATCTTGCAAAGGTACAAGCACACCTTCCATATTTCCAAACATAGATGACAAACCCAAGCAGAAGAGCATGATGAAGAAGAGAATGGACCACAAAGGTGAGACAGGCATTTTGGTGATAGCTTCAGTGAAGACAATAAAGGCTAGCCCAGTTCCTTCAACTCCCTGTGGAAGATTTCAGAAGCTCTAAAATTAGGCTCATTAACATCACGCAGCACTTAAATTTACATCAGTCTTCACTAGACTTGGTGTATGCTACACCGTACCGCAATTCTTATGCTTTTTGTTTACATAAAGACCTCCTAATGCAGCAATATATTTACTGTAACTATAATACAAATACTATTTCATGGAATTCTATGGACGCCTATTTTCATCTGTAATTCACCACCTTTTTAACCAAAAAAAAAAGGTGCACCCATTTAGTTCTTCTTGCAACCTTTTTCACCCCAGTGTCAAGGTCCGTTGTGTTGTGACACACTCATACTGGTCGGGACAGGGCTGGCTCCAGCTGCTTCCTCGCTCTGGGAGTCCCTTCCCTCATCATTTTGTCCCACTACGGCTGCAACCAGCTAGTTCCAGAGAAATACCTGCTGCTCTTTTGCCAGCGACATGAAGTCAGCCTAGAACACTTGTGGTTTTAGTTCCTAGGCTGGCAGATTGCCAGTACTTTTCAGAGGAATTAAGCAGTTTCTCTCTTCGAAAACAAAATGGGGTAAACAAAAGTAATTCTGCAGTCCAAGGGCATCCCAAGCCAATTGCAATCAATCGGTGGAAATATATAAAAACCCAACAACCTCAGAAGAAAAAGCATTAGGCAATTAAAAAATTGCTATGCATTCCTACCATATTTATGGTATCGATATGAGTCAGGTTGTTAAACTTACATCATTCAGGAAAGTTTCCAGATCACAGGATTCAAACTTCAGGCTTGCAAAAATCGCTGGATCAGTCATGTTACATAGCTGCTGCATTTGTTCAAAGTTATCTTGGGTTACATTACCTTCTGGCAAATCAAATGCATTCATCAGAGTAAGAATATTTCTGAAAAAGTGAAATACAAGTAATTTGAAATTATTTGTTTGTAAGCATCCTCAGGATTCATTTTCATCATCGAGCAAGTTATTAAGATCACGATGTCTTTTATAAAGATATAAAAGAAGCAATGTTTCTGTTGCTCAAGATCAGATTTTGAAATTGGGAAGTCCAGCAGTTTTGTGCGTGTGCAATTCTTTCTTTCTTCTTCCAAAGTGAGTCTGAAACTGTCTTGCATGGCAGAGATGACAGCTAAATGGATGGGCACCCTAGGGACCTGTGAAGGTGCCCAGAGGTTAGGGGCCCATCTTTGCACTGCAGACTGGGCACCAGTTCCCAGGCTGGGCAGCTTTTGGGAATGTGTAAGGTCTCTGCAGTTATTTGTCACGCACTTTTACAGCTGATGTGGAGGAACTTGACTGGAACCCACAGCGTTTGGCAGCCCCAGTTAGAAGGGAGTCTGAATTTCTCTGGTAAAATTAGGTACCTCTGATGAGACCTAAGCATTTAAGCTCTCCAGGAAGCAACCTAAATACAGAGCTGACACAAGGGCCAGGGTTTATGACATTCATGCCATATGTCAGCTCAGCAGGCATCGATTATTGTGAATTCTGCTTTTTTTTTTTTTCCCCCAGAGTTTCTAGACAATTTTCCAGTGGTTGATAGAGCTTCGTCTAATGAACTAAAATGGGAAGAATATAACTAATTCATTTGGGTAATTTCCCAATGTAGTACGCAGAGTCACTAGCGCTACCTGAGGTGTCTGCACTGTGATCCAGCTGTGACCAGGACTCGGCAGGACTGTCAGAACTGCCTGGTCATAGGGAGCTTCTTAAAATGGGCAGTGCTATCAGTGGCTCATTGCAAGTGATCTCCAAGGCAGAACTGCATAGTTTGGCCGCTATGTCAGGAGGCCTTTGAGGATTTGACATCAGCCATAGCAGAAATAGCAGCAGCAGCAGCAGCCTCGTATCCTTTTTTTGTTTGTTTTGGAAGTAATGTAAAATCCATTTTTTTCACAAAACCATTTTTATTGAAACTTGCATTATCCAGTTAGGTAAATACATTCCTTCAGAATATGTTTCATATCCATTACTGCAAAAGATTAATTTTTCACATTTGCCTCTAAAACTATAGATATTCTAGCATGTTTTTGTGAAATAATGTATCACAAACTGAATCTACCCTTATGTAAATAGAAATTGTTACATGAGCTGCAGTTATATTTGAAAGAACTGTTTCAAAAAACACATTAAAATATGGAATATCTTCTTCCTCCCTTGTCACTTTTTGGAAACATCAGGGAATAAGGTAAAATATGGTTGCTTACGCAACATCTATCTAGGAAATAAGGTGGCTCAAATAATTATCACCCCTATGGGGCTGATACCACACGATTTGAATTTTTTGAAGTAATGAGGGTTCCGATAACATGTGGGTCAGGAGCTGCAATTGTTTAGAACTAATAAATCCATTATCATCAGTCTAATAGAGCTGCCTCAGCCAAACACACACCTGTATATTCTGGGTTTTCTTTTTCAAGCACTTACTTGTCAAAACAGTCATCATATCTTTCTGTGGCTCTGAATCCAATGATGGAGTATATGACAGTTGCTGCATAGACAGATGTGAAACCATTGATCACTGAGATAATCAGGGCATCTTTCTCACAGTTATTGCTGCAATTCAAAGAGAGAAAAAAAAGAACGGATTTCAAACACATTCCCAAAAGAAATACCAAAACCTGATGCACAGGTATGTCAGTATGCTCTCTAAGAATATACAAGTACAGCTGTTAAAGATAGATTTAGTAAATTAAAACTTGGTGCCTTAAGCAGTTTAATAGCTATGCTTTTCTTTTTTTTCCCCTCAAATAGTCCTGTTTGTAAGGAATAACTGCCTTAGTTGTTTCCATGTCTGGCTCATGGAAAGTAAAACATGAAGGGCAAAAATGTGTGCCTCCTCCTTTTCACGCCTGGCATGCATGTGTGCAGATACACACTGGTATAAGCTGTATCTTAGCTGCTGGGGTGTTCTGCTGTAAGGTGAAAGATTTGGGTTTGAATTCGGTCAGAAAGGAAAACTGACCAAAAGTTTCCATAGTGCTGGAAGGTATGGTGAAGCTGCAGCAGCCAAGAGCACTTCGGAAGAGTTTTGTTTGATTGTTGGACAGAAGGTGGTTCAAAATGTCCTCACATTTTGGAAATACAATGGAACTTTATGCTAATAAGGTTGGACAGACAAGCTGTTACATTGTGCAAGTTAAACTGCTTGTAGAGACTCCTCTGCTGCGGGCGCTTGGCAGCATATCTGTGCTCAGATGAAAAAATTGCAGAGCCAGAAAGAGACTTTCATCTGAGAGAGGAGATAAAGGATCAATATTAAATTAGTTAATGGTTTTATGAGGCTGTAAAGCTCTAGATATTGTATTTCTCTTGGGCAAGAGAGGACTATTGACATTAACTTGATGTTGTCATATTTAATTTTCTGATCACCTTCAAGAGGAGAGGAAAGACAAGCCTGTCCAACCGAGACCTCTGACACTGTGACCTTTCATCACTTACAGCGTTGCAAATGGGTCTCAATGCAACACCACGCGTTGAGCACTCCCGCAAAGGAAGCTCCTGCTCATCAGCTGGTGGCGGGCAGCCAGTCCCCTTCTTTCCTGCCTGTGCCACCACGTCTTTCTGCAGGAAATCAGCCAGCACTGGGACCTGAAATCTTGGCTCAGGACAGCTACGATCAGTCAGAGATGAGCCTTATATGGCTGAGGGGATGATGTCCCGGTCCCAGGTAATTACTGTGTAACGATAGGGCAGAAGTGGATATGCTTCATTTGAAAGAATTAAATATTCCTATAAAATTTGGCTACTTACTGAACAGAGTTGTAACTGGAGAATGAAATGAGGCCTCCAAAGGCCAGGGAGAAAGAATAAAACACCTGAGCACCCGCGTCCAGCCACGTCACTGGGTTAGCCAGCTCGGTAACCTGAGGCATCAGACATACAGCTTTAAGTATATGCAACATTGCTATTTAGACTGAATATGAGGGATTTAAAACAATAATTAAAACAAGAACATTAAACATGCAGAACTCACCATTTTTGAAGAATGTTAACAAATAGGTCAATACTTTTGTCAATTTACTTCTTTTTCCAAAAGAAAACCTATGTGTACTTTCTACAAGTGTTCTGAAAATTGATAAACAAATTACTTTCCATAGCTGACAGCTGTCATGCCTGTTTCCAGAAAAGGTGTTTACTATTTAACTTTAATAATGACCATTTGGAGGTCTTCTCATGGAGAATGAAACCCCTTTTAATTTTCTTTCAAAACTGTTGTATAGATAAACTATTCTCTTAAGTCTTTTGTGCATATAGCCATACTGATTGAATGGGTTCTACTCCCAACCCATTTGTGTTTTAAAGTTAGACTTGTCCTTAACGAGAATACAAGAAAAGAAAGCAAGCCCCCTTATGGCAACTCCATTGCTTTGCTCTGTGATGATCCTTCCATTTCTTATAATAGATTTTGATGGGCGGTGGGGAGAGAGAGAGCGAATGTGTGTCTACATGTATTTTACATCTGATGCAAAGGATTCACCTCCCAGAATCAATATTTTAAAGGTGTCTGAAGGATAGTTAGAAAAGCACCAATGGAGGGGACTAATTTTCAATCGGTTGTTAGTTACAGAGAGAACTACATCATGTTTCCCTAAGGGATGAACCATGCAGCGACTTACATTAGGGGTGAAGAGATACACAATTCCACTGGTTGATCCTTTCAGCGTCAAGCCACGGATTAGAAAAATGGTGAGCACAAGGTATGGAAGAGTTGATGTTACATACACGGCCTGCACAAGAAGCATGTAAATAAAACAATTAAATAAAACAGAACACTTGAATAAAAATAGCACTGCAGGGAAGAAAAGAGGGGAATAAACAAGGTACTGCGACTAACAATAATGGCAAGTTTTAAGTGAGTCACAATTAATGTATTACAGAAAACTATGTTCAAGAGAAACAGTATGTGCAGTACATTTTGATAATAAATATTTTTACAGTCATAGTACTCTATTTAAGACAAATTGTCACTGTTGAAATTCAACTCAGATCATTCAAAAGCAGCACAAAAACTAATCTACACCCTGAGATCAGGTTGATGCTACTGATGCAAGGATGGGCTCTTAGGGCTTTGCTGGGCAGCAGAACATTGGTCACTCTTTTAGAGAGATAATGTTAAAGACTAAACCAAATCCAAATAAATCTCTACATGTATGTTTTGAAGAGAATGGCCATAGCAAAAAGACAGACTCCCTCAATCCTGCATTAAAGGTTAATATTAACGTTAAGGTAGTGATACCTAAAGAGTGTTTTACTAGGACCTGTAAGGACAAGAAAGCCGAATTGCTCACAAAAACCTCCACATAAATGAAATCAAACCAAATCAAATCAAATCAAATCAAATTCAATATCATACAGCTTCCTTCTTCAAAAGGCAGCCCCAGTGATGACACACGAAGTTTTAGACATGCTTTTACTCAAGAAACAGTTTCTACAGTATGATTAAGTCTGTATGAATAAGGAATCACAACGGCATAGTGAATATCATCTCATAAAAAACTGAAATAGAGTACCTTTCCTGTTGTTTCGATGCCTCTGATTGTGCACACATACAGTACACCCCATGCGCATGTTAAACATAACAAAAGCCACCACTGTATAGTGCCTGAATCGTCAATGGATGTGGAGATGTTTAATGTTTCTCTGTACCAGAAATAATCTACGGGAGAGCTCCTGGCACACTCTTCTATGTAATCTGTAACCACAAAATGGCAAAATGATTTTCATTCTGTATGCCTTTTATTTACTTGAAAAAAAGGAAGTTAAATAATAAACACCAGTGTTCTAAATTATACCACCTAATGCCGACAAATTTGTTGTTGGCAAATTTCAGACTCTTTGAGGCTGGTTTCATGGAAAAATGAGATATTTAAAAGAGAATTGTTTAACAGGGGTTTTAATGCAGATTGTATTGTTATTTCTATTAATTCAAGCATGCAGATAAAATCTTTGAAGCTCACTCAGAGACTCATCTTTATAATTTTTCTTTTTTCCTACAAAAATGTGACATTAGAAGTGTCTTGTGCCAAAGAAAGCATGGAGAGGATTTCTGAGCATAAATGCATGCATAATGCCTGGAATTTTTTTTTTTTTTTTTCAGTAGAACAAAAGCAGTTAGGCAGATGTTTTTCAATGATTGTACACTTCCTACCTCATCTTAAAAAAGCGCAAACAACTTTGGGCTTTCCACATGCATCCTGCTCTTTCTTGCCTGGTGGAGTGTGGGTACCTGCCCACAGCTTCCTGCAGACAGGCCACTCTTCCCTTCCCACAACTCCTTCAGATCAGCAATACTTTATCTTTCTATTTTGTGGGGCATTGTTCAAGGTCTTGTCAGCTCAGGTTGGATTCTCAGCTCCCTGCAATGCGCTGACCTGTGCTGTATTTTGCCCTGGCCTGCCTTTATATGAGGCTTTTTATAATTATTCTGGGAGGAGGGGAGCAAAGCTCTTTGAAGAGCTGTTCACCGACCCACCAGAAAAACCTGCTTCATACAGTTTCATGCAGGGCTGACTATGGAAAACAAAGATGCTGTCACCAAGCAGTCTACAAGGATCTATAGACTTGTCACATTGAGAGATACAGGTATTTCATATGGATTATGCATCTATTCCCCAACCCCGCCCCCCCCCTTCAATATGCTAATGGAGGGCTCTTGGTGAAGAGATGGATGAAACACATAGTCTAAATCTGGAAAATGTTAATGTTTATGCTAGACTTGCACTTTGCACTTTGTGAATATTCTGTATGTGAACATGTCTGGCAAAAGCAACCCTGACATTTCATATAAAAAGTCAAATCTTGTCTCAAAGATTAAGCGTTGGTCACATTTTATATAACATGAATTTTTACAAACCACAAGTATTAAAATAGCACAACGTTCCTGACAGGACTGCCATGCCTTACTGTTGTTTTACAGAAAGAGGCTCAGTTAGGCTAATTGCTAGAAACAGAAAAATGTGCTGTGTAACAAAATACAATATTTCATAAAATATACCTGTTTTGTTGTCATTGAGAGGACAGCTACTCCAAGGAAGGGGCTCTTGGAATGAGTTGAAGAAATACCACATTACCCAGGCAATAATAGTGTTATAATATAAACCCACCAGGAAGGATACAAACATTGCTGCTATGCCTGAAAAAAATAAAATCAGAACACAATGTCTTCAAGACATATCAAAATATATGGTA